CTGGAACATTAATTAAAAAAGATTTTGAAAAAAAAACGTGGCAAAATGTCATTGGCTGAGAGATATCATGTCATCGTCTTCAACCTCCGGCCACCTCTATATCGTGATTTCACAAATGGTCAAATCAAGAGCTCAGACCAGTGCCGTTCTCTTTGTCTCTTCAAGACGATTCCAATGGTACCCTCGCAAAAAAATTATATTAACCATAACTTAGTCGATTTGGAAAAAACCAGAAGAAAAGAGTTAAAAGGGATTTGAAAATTCACGAGAAAAACTCACTTTCATTTAAGAACAAACGATGCTATGAGCATCAGAGTGATGAGAGCTACATTGTAGTAACAAGTTGAAGAGAATTGATGGAGGAATTTTTCTGTTGAAACTCAACTTTAGAGCTCTGAAATTGGACTTGGTGAGCTTGATTCAATGCTCAATTCTTGGCGTTAAGAGTATGGTTAGCTTCAGAGAAGTTCAATGAAGCTAACTGAATCAAAATAAAGGAATGAAAGAGCCTCTAAAGGAGAAAATGAATTCGAAAATTTCAGAGGTTTTTTGAGGTTCAGGCAAAGCTTCTTTGTGTATCCAAGCTTGTGGAATTGAGTGGAATGTGTCCATTATTTATAGCTGAGCATGATGGAAACAAAAAGTGAGAGAAATGATCAAGTATGAGTGGAATTCGTTGCATTATGAGAAAAGTGTGACTTGTGATCCATCAAAATTCACTCAATTCTTGCGTTTTGATGGTTAAACAATTCTGAATAAATTTTTTAATCATTTTTAAGTGAAAATGTGCATAAAATTGGTGATTAGAATGCACATTAAGAAAATCAAATTCTGACTTCAAGCAAAAACTCAGTTTCATGGAAGCAACTTCAAGAGCATGGGGCACACAATGTAGGAGGCTTTATAGGATGATTCTTGAAGCAATGGAAATATCTCACAACAAACTTCACAATGTGCCAAGAAATGTAGAATTTAGTAATCTGAGCTGAAAGTTATGATCAATTGAAATCGTGAAAAACAAACTGACTTTTGTACTTAGAAATATTTCTAAGTGTTGAGAACTTCAAAATGACCTATAATGTTCTTAAAAGTTACATGCCCTTCCACTCAAAATTTGATCTTGATACTTGAAGATGAAATGAAGTAGATCCTTTGGGTTGAACTGTGGAATTGAGATCATTGAATAAACATAAAAGTTGAAAGAGTTATAGTCTTTGGAGAATGATGAACAAATTTTGGGGAAATTCACAAAATACCTATAATCTTTTCAATTCTTTAACAACTTTCCAAGAATTTTCAAGTCTTGAATATTGAAACAAAGTTGTAATAGTCATCCCAAAGATTATTGTAGAAAAATAATAAGGTTAAGGAGATAAAAGATGATCAAGTTATGATCATTTGAAGTCAAACTCTAATATTCAAAGGCTTTTCAAAGGGACATGTAATCTTCTTTAAACTTAAATGGTCCTTCATGAAAAATTAGCCTTTGATCCTTGAAGATAAGATATTAAGGACTACTTGAAGATAATAATGGATTTTGAATCACTTAAAAATCACAAAATTTGAGCAAGATATGGTCTTTCAAAGTCAACAAACCCTAGCTCAGAGAGTGTCAAAATAACCCTTTTAACTTTTGATCACTTTCCTTGTACAATTGGATCTTGTCATATGAAGAGAAGTTGTTGTAGATGATGATAAGAGTATATAGAAAAAATAACCAACTCAAAATGTTAAAAATTTATAGATTTATGCACTTGTGATCACTGAATCAAGAACTTGCTCAATAGGTCAAACTTGTTGAATCAACCTTGAATATTTTGAACTTTCTTTTCAAAATAGAGCATGATGGATCAAATTAGACTTTTAAATGATGTTGTCTTAAAGCATACTTAAATGTGGATCTTAAGTATCAATGAAACTTGTTGAATAAGGCATGAAAATAAACACATGAACCTATGAATCTTCTTGATGAATACCACCACCAACTTTGAGGAAAACTTGATCTAAATAAAGTGAGAAAGCTCTTTGAACCAAAAAAAATTGATATAATTGACATAGCCTTTAAGCTTAAGCTCTTGAAATCTATTGGTGAGATGGATGCAGTTGTGTCATCACCTACAATATGAACATTCAAAGAAACATATATACATATCTTAATGTTAGTTAAAAGAAAACATGTTCAAGATACACAACTCAAGGTGCTTGGTGATCCCTTAAGAGAAAACATAAATATAGGATGAAGTTAAAGGGAGAACCAAGCCTAATGTGTGATCTTGATGTATTGATAATATGAGATAATGAGATATCTTAGGGGAAAAATTGGGGTATAACACCATCCAGGTAGGGTACTTGACTTCTATGATGAAACCGACATCGGGTAACTTCTCGAACCCGTCTTTTATGGCCTTTTTCTTTTCTTATCCACCCTTCCTTTTCCTCTGAGATACCGATTTAGTATTCAGATTCAAGGCTAGGTGGTGGAACATGAAGTTGGGATCTATCCCGGGCATGTCCGAAGACTTCCAAGCAAACATGTCTATGTTTTCTTTCAACAGTTCCACGATCTCTATTTCTTCTTCTCAAGAAAGATTGCATCCAATGTAATTTACCTCGAAGGGCATGGTCCCGATCTGGACTTTCTTTGTTTCATCGTGGGGAGAAAGGCTTTCTTCCCGTGTATCATCTCAAGGATCTATGTTGATCATGTTGATTTTCAGCTCATTGGATCGTCTGGGCCCTTCTGATTGAACCTTTTTTAACTTCAGGATATCCTTGTAGCATTTCCTAGCTAATCCTTAGTCCCTCTTGACCACCCCGACTCGGCCGTCCCCCAAGGGATATTTCATGGAGAGGTATAGGGTGGATAGTGCATCCTCTAGGGCATTGAAGAAAGGTCTCCCTATGATGACATTATATGGTGAGGCAACATTGACGATTAAGTACCTTACTCTGACTGTTGTGGCATTTGCATTGCTTTCGATGGTAGTGAGCACAAGGAGGTGTCCTAATACTTGCACTTATTCTCTAGAGAATCCGACTAAGGTGCCATTGAAGGGCAGCAACTCGAACGTATCGAATTCCAATCCTTTGAAGGCTTCCTAGTAGAGCACATCAGTTGAGCTACCAGGATCCCCCAACACTCTTTTACACTCCAGTCCCGATTTTATACCTTGATGACCATATGGTCGTTTTCATGGGCCATGATGTTGACCGCGTCCTTCTGGGAGAAGCTAACTGGGTTAAGATCTTGTTCCCGGAGCCTGGCTATGTCCTTGAACACATGCTTCATGGCGAAAGTATACTTCTTTCTGGCCGAGCTGGCTTCACCGTCCCTAGCGAACCCACCGCCGATGGTGTTAGGGGTGTGGCGAGTTGTCTTAGTATCGTGCACCTCTTCGGTACCCTTTCCCTACTTTTGGGAAGGCTCCTCTGAGTCTGTATCCCTTTGCTGAATATGTCTTTTACCGACTGGGTTTTTTCCTTTTTAACATAAGTTAACAAGTGCCCCATTTGTATCAGTTTCTCGATTTCTTTATTTAATTGGAGGAAATCGCCAGTGTGATGTCCTCGGAGCCGGTGATAGTTACGCCAAGCTGTAGTATCGTCCCCCAGTATGACATTGACTCTCTGGCGATGATGTACTTCAAGGATCAGGTTCAGGTGTGCCACTTCTTGCATAGTTTCACTTCTCCTCATTGAACCAGGCCAGGTATTATCGGAGAGACTCTGCCTGACCTTGTCGGATGTTAAATAGGGACATTTTGGAAACCTTTTAATGTTTGTTAGCATATAACTATTGGATTAATTTCTCCGTGAGGTCTGCGTAGCTTTCCATGAATAGTCGTGGCAGGCTGGTGTACCATCGCAAAACCACGTCCTTGAAGGTGCCGACCATTAGTTTACATTTCAATGAATCGGTGGAGCTGATTATTACCATTTGGTTATTAATGGGGATAACATGCTCTTGAGGGTCAATTTTGTCGTCATACGCTGTTAATGATTGAGATTTGAAGTTCTCGGGACTTGGTCGTCCCAGATAGCTTGCAATAGAGGTTGAGGTTCCAGAAGATCCTCTTTCGGACCTTCGTCCCATACGCTTCTTTGTTGTAGGTCTGTGACGCTGTCCTATAGAGTTTTGTTCTATTTCCTGAGGGCATCCACCATGGCTAGTAGTTGAGCCATGTCTGGGGGAACTCTGGGTGATGACATTCTGTAGGAGGTGAATTTAGGCATGGCCTAGGAATAATTTTACCAAGGCCCCACAATGGGCGTTGTTATACCCCAATTTTTTCCCTTAAGATCCCTCCTTATATCATATACATGTATATCATCGATTCCATGGTTACGGGATCAAATAATTTTGGAATTACTTTTTTTTATAGACTGAGGATTCTACCTTAACCAAAGTTTATTCAACTGACGCTCTCATCATTCTTGGTACGAGATTAGGGCTTTGGATCTCAAGCAGCATAAACGTCTTCGATAACAAACTTCCTCAAGATACAAGGCCATTTCTTCAGCAATGGTCGTCAAAGGTCAAGAATTAAGGTTTCTCCTATGATATATTTGAGCTTGGTGTTAGATCTTCAACAAAGGTTCATCATGCTAGGTTTCTCCTCATTAATTTTTCCACAAGACTTTCATTTCAAGAATTTGAGAATTTAGTCAAAGACTTCTTTCTTGTGATGCTATTTGTTAAATGTTTAAGGAATGATTGAGGCTTTCACCAAGGCAAGATGTTCTTTATTATTCAGTTATGGATTTGAATTCCATCAACCTTTTAGACATGATGAGATTTCTTCTTGAATTTTTGACCCAATTGAAGCTTAACGATCATTGAAATTAGGGTTTTCATGGTCATATGTTCCTTTTGTATGCTTCAAGTACCATTCATATTCTACTACCCAAGGCATGTTTTTGTCATATTAGATTAAAGTATGAGTATAAGGGCTTGAGATGAGCTTATGGATTTATTTGGATCAAGACATTTTGTGCTTGAAATGCAAGAACATGATCGCCTGAGTTTATTTGAGAAATGGAGAAATTTGGATTCATTGTTTGTTCATTCAAGTCGCTCAAAGGTGCTCAAATGAATCATAAGCGTTTAATGCTTGCAAAGTTAGAAAGGGAAATTTATTATTTTAAAGTGAAGTCAAAAGTTACTGTCAAAGGTTTCATACAAGATTCACAAATTGAAAATTTGAAAAAGGATGTGGGGATTTAGATGTGAAGAGAATAGAATTTAGAACCAAATTTTATTCATAAATGTTTCAAACTACAGTCAACTATCTAAATAGATCTCTTTACATGATACAAAGAAAAAGAAACTTGGAACTCCTAAGTCTTAAATCTGTAGACTGTCCCTTGCTTTCCTTAGCCAAATCTCAATGTTCACGAAGAGCTTGCGTCAAGATCATGTTGAGCCGCCTTGCTAAAGTTGTGCCCCTTAAAACCTGTATAAATATCACCATTAAGAAGGATAAGTCCATACCATTATGCCAAAAAACTAATCACTACCAAGATAGGTCAAACAATATATACAGACCCGCAGTAACTAAAGAGGCAGCATTCTTTTGGAGCATGTGTTAAAATCCAAAAAGGGGTTCCCCTAATTGCTACTATACCAAACCAGATAAACCAATGTCAAACTATCAAAGACTTACCCTATATCAAGCTAACTCGCGACTGCTACCAACGCCAAGGCCTGTCCCCTGAAATAATCCAAAAGTCAGATGCAACTGAGAATGAGAATGGAGATGTAGATCATGCTATTGTGTTGTCGCTTGCAGAAGAGAATCAAAAAGTGAATGGCTACATTACTTATATTGGTTATGGGTGATATCTAAAATTCTAGAGTGCATTCTAGCATCCTGAACACTTCTGCTTTCGTGTTTACAGCCTACCAATCTCTTAGTATGAGTTTTTCCAAGCCAAAAGATCACCCTTACCAAAAATCATGCTATAAGGGAAGCTACCATCCAAGTGAGATGGCTGCAAGAACTTCAGCATACCCATTCTGGAACCGACATCATTGCCTTTATACTTCAATCCGAAACCTATTCGTATATCGAACCCGTATATTAACAAACAAGAGCTCTACAAAATGAGGGTTTTAAGGAAAACAGAAGAAGAAAATGCGGATGAAAGTTTTTGAATATGGAGTTAGAAATCAGAAAATAGCAGGACACGAGTTGAGTGAGAAATCAAAGCAGAAAAAGGAAGGAAAATCAGGAAGGCTTACTAACACTCAAAATATCATAGAGTTCCCAAAACAAATTGTTACAACAGAAATTTTCCAGCTCATCAACATATAACTAACTCTTTAACATTTCTAACCGTGGGCTAACTAATGGTTAACAACAATAAGGGAATTGGGAGAAAGAGGTGCTAACAGATTTGTAATAGAAATCAGAAGGGGGATTCATAACGAGAATAACAAAAAACCAGATCTAAGGGCTATGGGTAGTTTTACTGTAATAAACTTTCAACAAACTATAACAGAATTACTAACAGATTGGTAACAAAATTGAAATCAGATTGGTAACAGAATGGGGAGAGAAAAATTACAGAAAAGATTCACCTTACTACTATCTCAGGCTCTCTTCACCTATTGAACGAGCACTCGACATCTTCGTCTAGAAACTTCGACCACCAATCCCAAATCCACTCTACATCTTCTTTCAATCTTGAACCCCCATTCTCTCTATCATCTTCAAAACTTCACCCTCATTCTCTGGACTCCCCCAACTTAACCATACACCCTATTCACCAAGCTCTATCAGAATTCATGCTGAAACTGATAGTAGTTAAGCTAAGCCACCAACAACCTCACTCTTTGGTACTTCACTTTCATCTTCTTCCGTCTCATGTAGTCATCACCACACTCGCGAATCCGGATCCATAACTCACAACAATAACGAGCACAACACGAGTATTCATAGACTTCAAAGAAGAAAGAAGTAGAGGAAGAATAAGAAAAGAAGAGTCAGTGGATGCTTGTTATTACCTGACATCTCACTGAAGATTCTCTGGTTTTCTGCTTCTCTGACGCCGTTAACGAGCATCAGACTCTTCTCCGATTGGTAAGCCCTCTAGCCTTTGTTCCTTCGCCATTTCTTATACTTCCTTATACTGCTATGTAGGTTAAGATGTGCTGATACGAAGTCCATAGGTTTTGAGCTTCGAATCTCTGATCTCGCCGTTTAAGTTTCGTTTTGGGAATCTAGGGTTTTAAGTTTTTCTGTTTAGATTTGAAGTGGATGAAATAGAATTGGTGAAAACTAGGTTTGGAATCGAACTCAGGGAAGAGGACAAAGAGAGAGATGTAGGGATTTTTGTAATTGCCGAAGCTTCGCCGCCGCTGGTGCAGAGGAGCGATTTTCGGCGAAGGTTGACTTGAAAGGAAGAGAAGAGAAAATCTGGGGAAGGAAGCTGAATAGTCGCATTTTGAACCCTAATTTTTTTTTTAATTTCGCTTTTAATTATCTATTTTTTTTAGTAAAGAAATTTGAAATGTGTAAAAACATAGATAATGGACCGAATGGCACTACTATCTGGGTTGTTACGTTTTTTTAGCAGCTGGAAATAATTTCGAAAAAAAACAGCTTTGGCCCAATGTATCAATTCCTGTGTGGCTTGGGATTTTTGTAAAAAAAAAAAAGCTGTTTTCATAACAATGGCTGATGGGCCTGCGCCTAGTGCTTGTTATACATACTCCCTCATTATAATTTTCACCTCCCTGTTTTTTTCTAATTTCTTGTTTATTTTTGAGCTTTTATTTTAGTTTAAATTTCTTTCAATTTTCTTAGTAAAAATAGTACAAAATTAATACATGTAATAAAAAAATAAAAAATATATAGAATTTAGGAATTCGTTTTTAAGAAAATAATTTAGATAATGAACTACAAAAATTAATAAAGTTTTTTAGGCTTTTCGTTTGTTTCTTTAGGAAATTAATTCCTAATTTTTAATTACTTGAAACTTGTGAATCACCTTTTGTTGTACCCCAAAATTTTCCCTCTCATTTCTCAAGTAATCTCTCACAAAATCTCTTTGACTTAAGACTGCACTAGGGTTGATTAGCTCAAGACACCTCCTCTAGCATTGATGACTGAAAATTAGGGTTTGAGACTGCACAAGGATAAATGGACTTTTAATGCCCCATATGACTTTCATGGATCATTTTGGACTCTCAAGATTTCTCATGACAAGTTTCAAGTCTTGGATCACATTTTTGATCAGTCAATTGATCAGTTGACCTTAAAATCAGCTGTATTGGGGAAAAAGTCAATTGTGGCCAATTCATAGTCAAACTTCATAAGTTTTGATCCATATAAACATTATGAACTCATATATGTCATTTGATCAATTTTGGACCATAATTCCTCAAGAAATTTGATCAGATCATCAAAAGGGCAAAATGGTCAAAATTAGGGTTTTGAATGAGAAAGGGCAATTTCTGATTTTTTGACCTAGAAAATGATTGATTGGTTTAAGTTAAGATATCAAGGACTCAAATGCATCATTTTTACCTAATGACATGGCTAAAAACATTCCTCAAGTCCAATTGCTTGACAAATGAATTTTCAGTCAATTGATCAAAAATCAACTGTACACTGAAAAGTCAAACTTTGACTTTTTGGTAAAAATCAAGTATCAAAGATCACAATTCATCAAATCATGTCAAAATATGAAACTTATTCATCAAGAAATCAAAAATTCAAGTTTTCAATTTGAAAAGTCAAAATTTCTAAACATAGAAATTTTTCTAAGTGTTGGAAATTTCATATTTTTTCACAACTTTGAGAACATTTTTCACCATGATGCAAGATGATTCAAAGGAAACTTTCAACATGAAAGTTGTATATCTCAATGAGATCTAAAACATTTTATAACACAACTTCTCCTCGAAATGCATGGATTTCAAGTTATGATTTTGTGAATACATGTTCATGAAACTTGGGAACTTAGTGAAATTTTGCCCTAGTTTAGGGAGGATTTTGACCTAACTTCATGGAAGTTTTTCACATAGTTCCAAGGTGAATTTTCAAAAGTGATAAACCTAGATGTTGTAGAGGATGTTACAAGCTTTCCAAAATGTCCAAGAACTCATTGAGATCATATTCGGGCAAGGAGAATCGAAGGCATGAAGTTGGCATTTCATTCTTGAATTATAGGTCATTTTCATGATGAACAAGAATTCAAATCCAAGCCTAGGCTGCACAATCTTTGCTTTGCAGGTCTCAAACTTGTTTGGAACTCCATAATTAAATTTTTACACAACTGTTATAAGCTTTAATCCAAGCATTCAATGCATTACCCATGCTTAATACCATTTTAGGAAGAAAGGCAACATTGCCATTTTGGAAAAGTGGCTTTTATTCACAAAGTCAATTCTTGAGCTTTGAACTTGTTTTCTTCTGATCACACACAATCTAAAAGCCATAAGAAATTTTTCTAAAGCCTCTAACAACTCAGATCATGCTTGTACTTGGCCTTGAAACTATGTTTTTCACTTTTCTTCAAAATCAAGTAACATAGACATAAGTCTATATCTTGTGCTTCTGACCCTCTCAAGTGCTACAATCTTTTCCATATAATCACACAAGTTGTTTTCAAGCTAAACCACGAATACACAAGCTCTCAAACTCCCCAAAAATCAGATTTGCATAACAGACCTCCATTGTTGCATATTCTGGCCAGAAGTCCCAACCTCAAAACTACTCGTGTGTTTCTTGGCCTTTTTCTTCCAAAAGCTTCCAAACATCACACATAAGGCACCCTTGTCCCTGTTACACGACTGTAACACCATCTTTACCCACTTCCAAGTTCAAAAATAGAGTATCACAGTTGGACTTCTCTAGGCCATTCCAACCACCTTCAGTTCAAGTCAGCCATTGCATTAGCTTCCTGGAGGTCTAAGGAAGCTAACCTGATCGTCACCATCACTTGAAACAAGCTCAAACTCATTTCACAATTTCCAGTTTTGAGGTATTTTTCTTGAACTTCTATCTCATTATTTAGGCATTGTTAGGCTTGCATTTGTGAAGATAGAATGTAGGTACCATTGCCCTGAAACTATACATGTCCATAGATTTCATTTATGTTGCTTGAGCATGGAGAATTTTGAGTTTGAACTTGCTGAAACATTTAGGTCAGAACTTGGTACTTTCATTTTCAAATCAAACATCCTTGCTAGTTTCAAAACAAACACACTTTTAAAAACACTTTCAAAACCCTTTCCAAACTTGAAACATTTTCAAAAGATCAACACTTTGTATACGTTCTTACGAACGAGAACTATTACAAAGTTTGCCTAAATGATGGCGCCTTTTCAAAATACTTTCAAAAAACCACACAAAGCACCTTTTCAAACAAAAGAAAGTGATATAGAAAGAAACTAAGAGCCCATAGATAACTATGGATGAAAAGGGTGCTAACACCTTCCCTTTTCGTAATCTACCCCCCAAACTCAAGAAAAAATCTCAAAGGTCTTTCCTTTTCTTTTCAGCCTTTCCTTTTGGATAAAAGAAAAGTCGGTGGCAACTCTTGCTAACCGCAACATTTGCGATAAAGCACAAAACACCCAAGTCAGTTATCCCACCGTATCATAGAACTGGCGACTCTACTGGGAAAAATATTAAAAGTGGGGTCACCTTAGGGCTAGATCACCTTTACTTGCTTTCATTGTTTGACTTGTATGCTTTATATTTTGGTTCTTTGTTTGGGTTTAAATCTTCTCCCCAGATTTGGGATACCTTATAGGAAAGTAGCAATACGTTGTGGAAACGGTGCAGGGTATACCGACATGGTCTAAGTAATAGCTACGTTAGTGTGACATATTTGTGGGTACCGGTAGCCCTTGAGTAGTCAAGGAGAATATGGGGCCACTGAGTGATGTCATGAAACACTAACTGACTTTAGAACCTTTACTTGACCAACATGGCCATTAGGACGTAGTGGGATGACCGACTTTGGTGCAGTCTAAAGTTGGTAGATATTCGATACTACACTCATTGAGGTTTAGATTTTTGGGATATTTCGGTCTCCATTAAAGAGGATTACGCTGAAACAATGCCCGAGAAGACAAACCAGTGATATTGAGCTCCTTTAGAACCCGTTTACTATTTCTATGACATGTTTGAGCCAACTAAACTTCAAGAGTGTACTTACCTATGAGACTCCATGCAAGCCTATACCTAAGGACTTGTTTACCTTGTTTGTATATATTTACTTGTACATAACATCATAAACATCATAACATCATACTCAGACTCACTAATCATTTCAAGGATTTCTGGGATTTATATTTGTTCTGTTTTGTAGGACATGGATTCTATTCGCAGGAAAACCATTCAAGTCAATCTCGTAAGGATTACTCCTTAACTCAAAGAGTTAGCATCAAGGGTTCTTGAGAATTCTCCATTCACCGAAAGACATGGTCGCCTCCTAAACTTGGTTACCTCCAACACTGATGAAGATATGATGAAGGTGCTTTTCCAATTCTTTGATCCTCTACATCATTGCTTCACTTTTCTTGATTATCAAATTGTGACAACTTTGGAAGAATTCTCCCAACTCTTGAGGATTCCCATTCTCAATCAAATACACTTCAACGGTACGGAAAGAGATCCAAAACCTGAAGAGATTTCTCAAGCCCTACACTTGCAACAATCTTATGTCACAACTAATTGGGAAATAAGGAGTCGTGTCAAAGGTTTCTTGGCCAAGTTCTTGTTTGAGAAAGCTCAAGATTGTTGGAACTCCTTGGACTTACAAGAATTTGAGGAAATTGTGGCCCTTCTCATTTATGGGATGGTTTTGTTCCCAAATCCTGACCAACTCATAGATGTAAACACCGTCAAAATCTTCATGTCTCGTAACCCGGTGCCTACTTTGTTAGGAGACATCCTACATTCTTTTCACTCTCGCACTATGAGGAAAAGAGGTATCCTCATGTTTTACACTCCTCTCTTGGCAAGATGGTTTATTTCGCATCTTCTCCAATCTGTATTGAAGAATGATCAAGGTTCAAGGTGGTCCCATAGGTTAATGACGCTCAGAC